CCCCATCCCCGTGCGGGATGGTTTCCGAAGTGAGAGAGCATGGCCCACTTCGGTTAGCTCAGCGGTTACACAATCCCGCCAGCCCGCGCGGAGGAGGGGCTGCCCGGCCCGCCCGCCAGCCAGCTCGCTGCCCTTACGCAACCAGTGCTCTCCTGACCCAGTTCCACGCCGGCCCCAGCCCGCCGCCGCCAGCCCCGGAAGGGCCAACTCCCCGGCCATGCTGGGGCACGAGGGGACGTGGCCGGCAGACGGGAGCCCTAGGGTCGCCCAGGCGCGAAGTTCCTCTAGGCGAGGAGGGAGCGGGCAGGTGTCAGAGGGGACCCGCTTCCCCGACCGGTGCAGAGAGTGTAGGAGCCAAAGTGACCAAGAGAAGCAGAGACGGCAACACTCAGCCAGATGGGAACCGAGCGAAACCAGCGGCGACGAGACGAAGAACAAGTGCCACCGAAGGATACACACAGACTGAGAGCGAAGCTGAGAGACAGAAGAAGAAATAAAACCAATCAACCAACAACAACGACAAAACACACACACACACACACACACACACACAGAGAGAGAGAGAGAGAAAGAGAGCGAGAGCGATAGAGACAAACTCGGGGCAAACTCCAGAGAACGCGCTCCTCTCCGCACCCCCGACACGGTCCCCGCATGTCCCCCAGTCCCGTCTATCTCCCCTCGCTCCCCGTTTCTCTCCCGGCCCGACTCCTGTCGACCTAGCTACCCGCGTGCGGGGGTCCGGTCCCGCCCCCCCCCTCCCCCCCCCGGCTGCGGCGCGGCGGGCTCACCCAGTTGAACTGCTTCGTTGTACTTGAGCAGCGCCGCCTCCACCTGGCGCTCGCGGTACAGCTGGTTGCCTTCGTGTCGGAGTTGTGACGCCCGCGCCGGGCCCGGGAACAACTTGCCCAGGAGGCTGCTGAGCACGACGTTGACCCGCAGCGGCGGGGGCAGCGGCGACGGCGCTGGCGCTGGCGACGGCGCTGGCGCTGGCAACGGCGCTGGCGCTGGCGCAGGCGCTGGCGCTGGCAACGGCGCTGGCGCTGGTGTCGTGGCCCCGGTCCACCGAGTCCCTCGTGGCCGCCCTGTGGCCACCATCCACGCCGATAGCTTGACTCCGCACAGTGCACAGCGCCGGTCGGTTGCCCGGCCGCGTTCCAAGCAGATTTTACAAAAGGTGTGGCCGCAGGACAGGGACACAGGGTCCGACAGAAATCCTTGGCACTTCCTGCACTTGAAGCCGTCCCACACCTCCGTGGCCCCAGTCGTCTCGACTTCTTCAGCGGACATCGCGCAGCCTGGAGATGCCTGCGCCAACCCATCGCCCAGCGGTATGGTCTTTGCCAGGCAGTGCACCAGCTGTTCCAGCTGCTCGGTCGCCAGCTGGTGCCGCTCCGAGAGCTGTTTGCACACCTCGAGAGCTTCCAGGAGGTTCCCCTCGGACGCCAAAGCGTCAGCTCGGGAGAGCAGGACTTTGCACTCGGGCGTCGAGGCCCGTGGAGGCTGTGTGGACTCGGGTTCCGGCGTCGGGTGCGATGCGGCGCCCTCCATAGCCGTTTTGGGGTGGGGACCCGCGTCTAAGCGAGCGTCTGCTGACGCCGCCACCGTTGTCGGCTCCGTCGGCTCGGAATTGGTGCTGCCGAGCTCAGCGGGCAAGCTCAGCATCTGTCCGGTCTCCAGTGGATCCATGAGGAGAGGGTTAGGAGCGGGGAGAAGCGTTTAGGGGCTGGGGACTCACAGCACAGAGCGGCGAGTGTAGGGAATCAGGGCTGCTCCAGGGGTGAATGCGGCCACGCCAGTCCCAGTGCTGCCGCGTGCCTGGTTCCGCGGCGCTTCCGCGAGCTCCATGCCGGCCGGCCCGCGCCGCCTAATAACTGTCTTGTCTCAGCAAAGTGTTATATAAAACGGTACCATGTGACCCGCCGCCACGCCGCTCATTGGCCGGCGGCGGGGAAATTGTTACAAAACCAGACAGTTTTGTAACAGTGTTGCGCTTGCTGCTTTGGGCTACGCTTTTCTTGGCTGCTTTTTGAGGTTGTTTGTGTTTACGCTCCGCCTTATTTCCACCCCTAGCCCCCGCGCCTGGCTCAACGTAGTTCCTTCTCGGAAAGGGGGCGGGAGGTGAGATAAACCAACGTCTTTTCTCAGACTTTTCTGGCGCCAACCCACTCCACTTCCAAAGCGGCCAGCAAACAGGTCCCCTCTGGCAGCCCTTCACAGGGGCCACTGTCCTCTTGGGGGAGGCGCGGACGAGAAGTGCTGTCCATCAGGGCTGCTGGGACGGGACGGGCTCGGCCTTGGGGCAAAGGCTTCCTTCTGAAGGAAGCCAATTGAGAAGGGACCCCTGAGAAGTCACCCTCTTGGCTTCGCAAGCCCTGGAAGCCCACCCTCGGCTCTCCAAACTCGGGTCCCAGGTCGAGGGTGGTCAATGAGGGTTTTCGAGGTCTCTGAGTGGCGGGGGCCGAAGTTAGGTGTCACCGCTGTGTCCCGGAGTGGCGCCCACACCTGGTCCCCTCCTCACCCTCTTGCTCACACCTGATAGGGAACCGACACCAGACCCGAACTTACATGCAGACAGACAGCTGGTGCTCTTCGACGGCCACGTGCCGGGTGGCCGCGGCCCCAAGAACCAGGGCTGTGAAGCTCCAAGGATACTTTGGGGGCGTGGGAGATCGGTGAGCTGAAGCAGCAGTGCCCAGAGCGCTCCTCTGGCGAAAGCGCGGGCATCCTGGCTCAGCCCTGGTTCTAGTTTGGGCGAGTTACAGCGGGGAGGTTGGGCGACTGCGCTGGAGGGACAGGGCTGGGCAGGAGCCCCGGTGCCTGGCTCACAGTGGCTAGGGTCAGGTTGCTGACCAACCTCAAAAGTTGTGATGCCTCCCTCCCAAGCTTACACTTGGCACAGAAACCAAGCACACAAAGAAGCTGACGGTGGGGGCGGGGGGGGGCTGGTAGATCTCAAGTAAAACATCACTTCCCCGCGGTGAAGTTGGTAGCAATAGTGGAAGGACACAGGCAGCTGGACGACTGTCCTTTTCCTAAGGGTCAGGCCTGACTTAGATCTTGAAGACACAGAAGTCAGGGGAACTGACCAAGAGGCAGAGAAGGCGATCATACCAGTAGGGGAGAAGCTGAGTTTTGAACCACTGACTTGCTTTCTGAGCTCCACTCACCCTCTATTTCCTTTGCTTTCAAAAGGGGTTCCCAGCATTAATTATCTGCCTGCCCTTTTGAGGAGGGACAGGCTGTGGGGCAGGTAAAGAAGTTCATATGACAAGGTCACGAGATGGATAATGACGTAAACCTCTAAATAGACGAGCATTATCCCACTACCTTGTGTGGCGCTGTGGGTTAATGCGCTGGACTGCAAAGTCTGTTTGAACAGCAAGGTCGGTGGTTCAAGTTCACCAGTCTCTCTTCAGAAACCCTATACAAGGTCGGTATGGATCGGAACCGACTTGATGGCACTTAGCAACAAGCACCCTACCAGGAGTCCTTGTGTGGCACTATAGTATAAGCACTTGACCACAAGGTTGGTTTGAACTGCAAGTTTGGCTGTTGAAATTCACCAGTCGCTCCTCAGAAACCCTATACAGGGGGGTCACAACATTCTCCCTTTGGGAGGACGGTGGCTCCATATGATACACTGGACTGTGAACCACAAGATGAAGCTTTCTGTTCCCATGCCTCGGGATTTAAAGCCTCAGGAAATCTATACAGGGACTCACTCGACAGCACTTAACAACAAAAAACATTATCCTTTTAAGGATACCTTGTTGGTATACCTATTCAGTTCTGGGAGTCCTTGTGTGGCGCTGTGGGGTTAATGCGTCAGACTGCAAGGCCATTTAAACTGCAAGGTCGGCAGTTCAAGCTCACCAGCTGCTCCTCAGAAACCCTATACAGGGTCACTATAGGTGGGAATTGACTCGATGGCACTTAACAATGTGTCAGTTCTGACACATTGCAACCCTGTATAGGGTTTCCAAGGAGTGGCTGGTGGGTTTGAACTGTCAACCCTTGTGGTTTGCCATCCCGTGCTAATCCTACAGCACCACACCAGGACTCCTGGTAGGGGAGTAGATTACCAGCTGGGCTGCTGAACGAAAGGTCAGCAGTTCAAATGTAGTAGTCACTGAGAAGAAGAAAGATTAGGCTTTCTGCACCGTAAAGATTTACAGCCTCAGAAATCCTACACAGGGTGGCTATGAGTCGGAACCACTCAAGGGCACTTAATAACAATTAGCCCTTTGGAGTCCTGGTGAGTCACTGTAGGATAAGCACTGGATCGCCAGCTGCAAGGTTGGCAGTTCAAACCAACCAGCTGCTACTCAGAAACCCTATACAGGGTTGCTACGAGTTAGAAACAACTCAATGGCACTTAACAAAAACAATTTTTTTTGTTTAAGGAGCCCTGTGGCAATGTGGGTTAGGCATTGGACTGCTAATCCCAAGATTGGTGCTAGTGGTTCAAACCCAACAGCCTCTCTGTGGGAGAAAGATGAGGCAGTGTGCTCCCATAAAGATTTACAGGCTTGGAAACCCTATATAGGGTAGCTATGAATGGGAATTGACTCACTGGCAGTAGGTTTGGGTTTTTATTCTGGCATTATCCCTTTAACAAATTAAAAAAATAGATCTCTGGTACCCCAAATGGTCTCTTTCCAGATGCAGATCTGAGATGTGCTTTGCTCCCCTGGACCACTTTGACAAGTAAGTGTGTACACTCTGGGTTAATTTCTCTACCTTGCTTTGTGGGGGTTGGGGAGGCATGGGGGAAGGGCAGGTCAGACAGGCTGTCATAGTCTGGCAGGCATGGAATAGGATGTTCTCACCAGACAGCCCCCGTTGGTCAACTCCATGTGCCCCAGGCTGACAATGAACTCGGTCAGCAATGTCAACAGCTGTCCATTCTAAAGGGTAAGACAGGATGGATACAGTCAGTGCAAACGGTAGCACCATCTACTCACTGACCAGACTCCCTGGGGAGTTTTAGTATTTTCAAGTCAGGACTGCCTGTGGATAGCACCAATTGGGTGTCTATTGAAAGGTGGGAAAATAGTAGCACACCAGTTTTCTTAACTTATCTATTTAAATTAAATAAACAGTGCACTCATATACATTTATGTACCAACTCAGAAGTCACCTACTGAAAACGTTTTCCACTCTGCTTTTAGGACTCCGATATAACAAAGATTTTGAGGCTGACGAAGGACTAGGCAGTGTTTCATTCTGCTGACCATAGGGTCGCTATGAGTCGGAACCCACTAGGCACCTGACACAGAAGGAGGGAATGATGAAGCCCTGATGGCACAACAGTTTCGAGCTGAAAGGTCAGCTGTTTGAATCCACCAGCCAGCCACTCTGTAGGAGGAAAGACCTGGCAATTTGGTCCCATAAAGATTGCACCCTAGAAAATCCTATGGGACAGTCCAACTTTTACAACCTAGAAAACCCTATGGGGTGGTTCTCTTCTGTCACATTGGGCTGCTGTGCATTGAAATCTACTGGACATCACCTAACAACAGGGGCAATGATAGGGCCATCTTTTTGTCAGGTGAAAATACTCATATGTTTGACTCTTGAACAACATAGGTTTCAACTGCAAAGTTCCCCTTATATGAGGTATCTGGCATTAACATGCCCCGTGTGATGCTGATCATCTTCACCTGAGCAGTGTGTTGCTCCTGTTAGCAGGGATAGACGGGTGAGGTGTTAACAGTTACTGGAGAGATGAACTGCACACAAGGAGATAGTTAACTCACTGGTAGATGATTAGATTAGCACCACGAGGCATTATAATTGGATGAGCTAACCACATAGCAGCAGGAGAAAAAACAAAATAAAACACGTGTGTAAGTGGGCCCACGCAGTTCAAACTCGGGTTTAAGGGTTAAATTATATGAGGGTTTTCGATTGTGCCCCTAACCATGGTGTTGTTTGTAAGGTCAATTGTATTCCTTTTGGAGAGTCTGATCCTTAAACTCTCCACTTCGTTTCTTAGGCTCACCTGGTGGCTGTGGTTAACCTAGAAGCTAGAGCAACAGTTGAGCTATCTCTGTCTTTTAACTGACTACAACAATGGTCTTCAAACTGTGCTCTGAAGAACCTCTCTGGGACCCAGAGGAGACAGCAGGCAGAGCTTGATGCCAGTTCTCCTCATCCAACACAACATTGCCTTGTTCCGTGTCATGTATTGTGTTTTCCAGCACCCAATAGCTTCCAGGTAATATTTCATTAAAGAAAAGTTTTCCCTCCTTTAAAATAAAAAGATTGGAAACCATAGCAGTTTTCACATATGAAGGAGGCTTCAAAAAGTTCATGGTGACATGGAATAAAAAGATAATGGAATATTACCCCAAACTTTTTGAACCCCCTTGTATTGAGCATCTTCTGAGTAGCAGGCACTGTTTTAGGTAGTGGAGAGATAGTAAATCAGCACTTAGTTGCTCAGCCCTTCCTGACATCTTCCCCACATAATCTTCTACTGGCTTTCCAGGCAGGCTAGCAGCTCCAGGACAGCAAGGACTAATACATTATGTCTAGCTCTTCCTCAAAGGACAGTGCCTGAACAGTTCTTACTGAACATGACAGTGGACATCCTGGCCCTGGATGTGTGCCAACTGATGAGAGGAAACCCCTTTGCCCACAGAGGAGACAGTGGGCATTCACATGGTTAGATAGCCCTATTC